TAATATACAAAGCTACTCTAAGAGCCAAAGGAAAGTCATAAAAATATAGGAATAACAGAAGGTCCCTTGAAACAGGGAAGCTATTTACGCAAAACATCATTTAACAAGATATACGCAAATATTTCAAGCCACTGAAAACGTATATGGAAAAGTACAAACCAAAACACACCAAAAAGAGTAATGAAAATACGAAAAAAGCTTACAATAACACCTTGAAACATATAACATTTGATGAGAGGAGAAAATAATGGTAATCACTTTTCGAGAACAACATAAACTCTTAAACAAAAAATCAGAGCACGTTTTCAACTTCGGGCACGAAAAGAATTCTTAATATCATGAACCAAAAATATTATTATGAGATTTCAAATAAAATCACATAACCTAAATCTAATTTATTTCAGATAGATAGATAGATAGATAGATAGATAGATAGATATTTTTTTAACTACGAATTGGAGTGTCAACATCAAATAAGTACAGAAGTTTAACTATTTAGGAATTGTTTTAACAGAGACTATCATAGACAGAACCCGTAAGCAAGAAAGAAGTTTTTTAAGAAAAAGAGAAACAAAAAGAAGAATACATATTCAGAATCATAAAGGGACAGCTGAAATTTCTTGGACACATAATGGGGAAGAAAAGCTTGGAGACTTTGAGACTCACAGAACATATCGAAGGCAAAAGTGATAGCGAGTAACCTACCTGGCCAGCTTGTGTGAATGTACGGAGATGAAGAGGTTGATAAGCTTGCCAAGGAGAAAAAGTTGTAAGGGTGTTATGGTGTTGGACCATAGAAAGATAACACGGACTCGGATATAAGGTTAAAGAGTATATTCTCGGACAAAAATAGTTCAACAGTAAACGTGGACAGGAGAAGTACTTTTCTCTCACTGGTGTCTTGATTCACTCACTCGGTGATACACTGTTGGTGACTCACACCTGATGACTTCAATATTTAATATCCCACCCACGAGGAATATATGTGGCAGAAGACCGAGTTTAAAGTGGGTTTCTCCGAGCCCGTAGGCTCGGCCAAAAATATACCCTTTGAACCCGCCTAGACGGGTTCAGGGCCTGTCTACCTCTCCGGACGAAACCTTGCCCTTCGGCAAAGCTTCATCCGGGTTCCTCTCTGCCATCGACAGACGTCACCTGGTGACTTCCCACCTGGTGATTTCTCCCTACTCATAGTTGGTAGCCACATTATATAAGTGTGGAAGAGTCCATTTGTAGGTAGGTTAGGTTCCCACAATAAAGGGATAGGAGGCTGTGAAGAGTCATGATTGCCCACGTCCTCAAGGGACATAGCACATAGAAGTAGATGTTTCCGTTTGGTAGTTACAATTATTCCTTTGTAGCTACTAAACTACAACATTAATGGGCTCAAATATATGTGTTACGCCAATCTGCCTTGTAAGTCATCATCAGAAATTTTGATTCGAACCACCAACACATATCTTGTTCACGCTTTTTATTCGATTGTCAGATGAATTCGTTCGTTTTTTCCAATTCTTTTTTAATTATTACTCAAATTAATTTTAACGTAATGTTTTATGAATTTTTGTAGCTTTATTCTTTTTCTACAACTTTTGATTATAGTTTTTCAAAATCTTGAATTTTACCTCTTTTCAGACATATGATAATGAAGTGCCAAGTAGACAAAAATGAGCATTTTGATACCTTCCCTTGGCATTCAGCCAAGGTTCTAAAGATTGGTTGAGAAATTCTACCGTACCCCACCATACACCCCTGATTTAGCGCCCTTCAGATTCTCATCCTTTTTTTTTTTTTTTTTTTTTGGATCTGCGAGGCGTTTTGTTCATTAACGACCTGCAGTTGAAAACGTGACTTGGTGAATTCTGCCAGTCAAGACCTGAAATGTTGGCTTTCCACACTACTTCAAACAAAAGGTTAGGAAAGAAAGCCCCATCAATACTGGAAAGAGCAATAACAGTTACTGGTCTTAAGAAACCTATTTTACTGAGAAAAAAAATTGTTTAACATTTTATAAATTTCAACCAAGAGTAGCACTGGCTGCTCGTTCAATGAATGCCAAATGTTTCCTTATAAGAAAATATATTACTATTGCCGTTACCAGTCATTCACTCATTTACGCTTATTCTTCTCCTCTCTCTCTCTCTCTCTCTCTTTTAATGAGATTGCTTGATATTCGTTGATAAATCCTTTTGCAAAATCTTACTGAAGATTAACAATCAAATTTTATGACTTGTCACAATTTATAGATCGATTAAATTCCAAAAGGTTACATTTTTCTTGAAATAGTGCAGACAGAAACATAGCTACAGTTGAACATTTTGTCGCGCGATGTAAGAGAAAAACAAAAAGAAAGATGACCATAAAAATAGCAATAACAGTAAAATAACGATTTTTAAATCCGGAGTTCATAAAGTCAATGACTGTCGTGTTGTCGACATCCGTTGTCATTAAAATTTACAGAAGCGACATATATTACAATATATTACCCGGGGAAAAGCAAAGGTGGGGCAAATGGCACTGGTGGAACACAGTCGAATGTGGGTCAGGGAAGTATGAGCAATGCCGGACGCTGACCAATAGGCACCATATTGCATCAAGCTTATCGACAAAGACAAAGGAAATGTTACTTCTACGCAATGAAGGGCATAGTTACATGTCTACTAAAAGAAATAAAATGAGATGTGGACAAACTCGAATAAATGCTAAAATAAGGACAATCTGACAACGATAGATAGATAGATAGATAGATAGATAGATAGATAGATAGATAGATAGATAGATAGATAGATAGATTGGCAGGAGCAGATGCCTATTTAAAACGGAACCAAGATATCCACAGAGATAAAACGAAGCAAGATTTACTTTATATATTTCTTTCGGTCGTGTGTGTAGCGTGACGGTTGTCGTAAAGTGGAATCGGCGATGTCTTTTGTGTTAAGTTTACTGGAAAATGGCATCTCATCTCTTTTATCTCATCTCTTTTATCTCATCTCCTTTCACCCCTGATATGCTTTATATATCAAAATAGACTTGACCCCCTAAACTTGTATGGCTGCCAATCTAAGAGGACAAAGTTGAATTTAGAAAAAAAGTCACTCGTGAAGAAGCCAATGAGAAATAACGACCCTACTTTTCCCGTGAAGTCTTTCGTTTTGGTAATTCTCAGATAATAAACAAAAAGTATCTGTGGAGAGCTATGACTGCCACAAAAGGAGATGGAATTCTTCTTTCTTTTTTTCTTAAAATATTTCAATATTTATTCCTATACTCACCAGGAATGATTAAATTAATTCTGAAAATATCTACTGTAAAATATCAAAATTTGAAAAATGAACCAAAAACAAAAAATTACTCCATTGGTAAAAACATTCGTTTGGATTAGAATAAAATGCATTTATTTTTAAACTTTCGATATTTATTGAATAACATGTGTTACCGTTTCGTTCTACCACCTACAGATATCTTTCATGTATGGGGTGGGGTTGGAAAAAGATAATATTTCCAGTTTTCAGTTCCCCATTATAGCCATAAGTGTACCCGTGATATACTAACACAACGGAAGGAAAGATCAGGATGGCTGAATGAGAGGAATGATAAATATACGTTGTTCTCTAATACCGCTGTTATACAAGATATTATATACAACTATGTATCTACCTTTCATTATTTTGTACCACACAGAAATTATAATGCATATGCAGTGTGAATAGGCGAAAGGGAAATGGTCGTATATGTAATATTTTATGAAGAGAAAACGAGCAGGCCGATAGTTTCTTCTATGTTCCTTGGTCGGATGTTGTCGTTTCTTCTATTCGTCTTAGTACTGCTGGCTTATGAAGGCGTCTATTATCATTCGGTCTCGATTTCATCAACTGACGTCACTCACCGACCTTCATACGACCCTTTCGATTTAACAACACGGAGATAATCACCTTTTTTGCACAGGTGATTTCATAATTCTATCCTACCAGAACATTTTGTCTTTTATATGTTGAAACTGCTTATTTTCGTCAATATGAGTTTGTTGATATCACTCATATATCGCAAAGTTTTATAAATAACTAAGGTGATTTAATTTTCCTGACTTTTGACATAATCTTTTATTCCAACCAATTTATGTCAATATTATTAAGTTATTGTATTAGTGTCTCTAACTTACGCAATCTCTCAACTAAAGTGTGTATTTCATTATCATAGAACTATTCCAATTTGATTAACCCTTCCAGAAAATTTTCAATATCTTCCACTTATTGGAAACACTGACGTAATTAACTGAGTGTTGCCTGGAATTAAACAAATGATTGTCTGAAGATTACAGTTTAGTGAATACATCACATGAGCAAAAATCTCTCATCCGCAGTCCTTGATCTTTTCTTGTGTTGCATTTACAGTTCGGCCAAATCATCGGTCAACTTCTTTACACAGAAAAATCTATTTTCCATTTCAATGTGTCCTTCAAACGAGCCACTTGCTCACTTCAGTGTAACAATTTGTTCCAATTTCAGTAGTTTGTGATAAAGAACTCTATATGAATTCCAACAAAGATATAAAAAGATGATTCCGTTTAGGTTAAAATGTTGATCACCGTCGCCGATTTAGCCACGATTGTATAAACAATAACGAATTGAGTAAACATCCATGACATTTCTTTGATTTCCCTAATCTTGTAGGTAAAATAACAGATGAAAGTAATAAGAATGCATAGTATGCTGATCTCTATATGTAAATTTTTGATAACTGAATAATATCGTTTGGTTTAATAAACAAAAGTAATAAATAATTTAGATTCTCGACATTAAAAAAAAGATCATATAATGAAAATGTTATTTCTTTTCAAGGTTAGAATCAATAAGCAAAAATATATCAATTTTGACAGACTTAAATTCATGCGAATATGACAGCTGGTTAAAAAGCGATCATATTGAATGAAATTAGTTAATGCTAAACACTCCTAATGCTATATAACGGCAAAGCAAAACAATATTATTTATCTTTCTAGGATGTTCTTTTGTCAAATTATGTTGGGTTTAATAAATTCCACGTACTCTTTTCCATTTCTCTCTCTCTCTCTCTCTCTTTCTCTCTCTCGCACGCGCGCACACACACACACACCTCAAAACCAAATACTTTCTTTTCCTATTTCTCTTACTTTCGCTCTCTCACTCACTTCCTTCTCCGTTACCCCTCTCTCATTTAGTCACTTCCTGATTGGAACTCTCCTTTCTAGAATGATATTCTCACTTTATCTCTCCGTACGTCATTTCAATCTTTCCCTCTCCTTCTTATTTCCTGCACCCCTCTCTCTCTCCCTCTCTCTCTCTCTCTCTCTCTTTCTTCTTTCTGCCTTTCAGTTTTTCTTTCTCTCATTCGATATTTTTCTCAGTTTCTCTTTCATCCTCCCTCTTTTCCTCTCTTTCCATTCTCAGCTTCTCGCTCCTCTCTTTCCCCCTTCTCTATCATGTCTCTTCCCCACTTATCTCTGCTTTTTATCTTTTTACGTCCCTCAATTCTTTTTTCTTCTTTTTCTCTCTTTGTTCCTCACCTTCTTACTTTCTTTCTCTACTTTTGTCCCGATTTACTTTTCTCTTTCACACCCTTTCTCTCTTTCTCGCTTTCAAATTATAATTCACCCCCTCTTTCTTTTTCCTTAGTCTCTCTTCTTTTTTCCCCTCTTACATATTCATGAGGAAAAGAAGGTGTATCAAGGTTAGACGGATGTGAAAGTTTAAAGGTCAACCTTGAAAGATTAAAGGTCAGCCTAGAAACAAAGGTCATATCAAGTTTGTTCGAAAAAGTCCGGATATAAGAACCTAGTTTATGTTATAAAAAACTGTTTTTTTCAGGAGTTTCATCTCGATTCCTCCACCTACTTTGTTATGAACACCTCCCACTATATCTCCCTAGAAACTAAGAACACATAGTAACTCCAACAACACACATTAAATGTTTGAATTCTTCTACCTGGCTCTTGAATTGCCACTTACCTGAATAAATGTAAAGATTGTAAAAAAAAAACAAAAAAAAAACACAACCAATGATTAGGAAGGAGATTATGTTGAAAAATAAATATTATTGCGTAAAAGACTTTCATCTTTAACAAAAGACTTTCATCGTCGTAGAAAAAATCAATATTTAGTCATTTAAATCTATAAACGCTTTAATATGGAGACAGATAAAACTAAAAATGTTCATACACGAGCATGCGCTCACACACACACACATATATATATATATTATTGACATTTGGAAAAACGTTCATGAAAATATGTCCCGAGAACAATATCCGATAATGCTTTTGACCTCTTAACAGCTTCATCAGATGGATAACGAAAAAATGTGTGATGCGTGCATGCATTTGTGTGTGTTTAAAATAATTCAATCTTATATTATTTTTCCCAAGCTGGTGTTGGTCGAAACTAGAAGAAAATGAGTGACTTTTTAAAAAATCATTTAACATTTTTTATATTCTCCACTTTTAAGTGTCCGAATTTTGAGATGGAAATTCTTCAGAATGGCTAGAAAATAAATTCAAGAATTGTTTTTATTCATGCGTTCTCCATTTTTCGGTATATGTTTTCATGAAGGTTTTCCTAAATATCATTAACTTTCGGGATCACATGCAAATTTATTACACACACACGCATATATATATATATATATATATATATATATATATATATATATATATATATATAATTTAATGGCTGGACACTCGTATCCAAGTAGCCGAGTATGTCTGTATACTAAGGTTGATAGCCAATCCCTGTTGCAGACACCTGCTCAGGCACATTTGTGTTTGTTCAAAAGCCGCAGAGCCCACGTGTGGTTTATACTGCAACTATACTGAGCGAACCTTAGTTACAGATTCTGCGAGAGAGAGTGCATTATCAGCATCCTGAAAACTTTCAGTCACGATGACTTATCACTTTGTGCTAACACTACCAACGGCGGCTCACAAATATTTCCATCTACCTAATTTTACTCACAATCTTGGGCCATCCGTGTTATAGTTTTCAGGCACGTTCGAAAGGTGATGAGATCAACTCCAGAGGACGATAACATCAACAAGCCAGCCACCTATAACCGGTCATTTTATTAAATATAATCTTTTCTTAATCGATTAGAACACGTCTTTTTCTTTAGAATTGCCTCTTATTCTTGTCGTGAATTCGAGGGTGTTCTGGGTGCAGGAAGTTGCTATTATCATGGCATCCTGCAATTCTTCTAGATGGTTGGATGTACACTAAGAATCCGAATCTAACTTTCTACCACATTCCAAAGGGGGACTATGTGATTAAGATTCGGTGACAACATAAAAAAAACTCATTGCTATGTTCTATGAAGTAATCTAAAACGATCTTTGATTTGTAAGTACGGATGAACCATTGTCATAAATTGAGTGATGTAGTTAGGGTGTAGATTTAAGTGACCTTTTTTAGTAGCAATGGTCACAATATATGGCAATGAGATATCCTCCATACCATTATACCATCAGCACCAGACTAAACGATTGATGCAAAGCAGAATGGATCCATTATCTCCTGTTGTTTACGCGACACCCTGACCTTGTCAACAAATGGCACAACAAAACTTGAGATTCATCAGACTAGCCAACGTTTTTTCAATGTTCTGTTGTACAATTTTTGTAGCCTGTGTTTCTTGTTCTCGTTTGACCGTAGTGGTACGAGACATGTTTGTTTTTTTTTATCTGCTGTATCCTATCTACTTCAAGGTTCGATATATTGTACGTTCAAAGATGCTCTTCTGTATACCTCCGTTGTAAAGAGTTGCTACCGTTGTCTTTTTGATAGCTTGAACCAACCTGGCCATTCTCCTCCGACCTCTTTTATCAAGAAGAATTTCTGAGCAGAGAATTGCCGTTCACCGTATTTTTTTTTATTTTTTTGGTTATACTCTATAAACACAGGAGATAGCTGTGCTTGAAAATCCTAGTAGAACAGCATTTACTTTTAAATACTTATACTCGCCTATCTAACACAGATAAGCATATCACATTTAAAGTCACTTTATTCATGCATGAAATGAAATTCAGAAGCTAGGTAGGACGATATTTAAATACCTGAATCTATTAAATCGCTTCCACGGCATTGGCTGACTAAAAATTTGCATAAAATAAATTAAATTATATTCGCATATGCTCTATCCCTGATATTCGGCTCTTTAACCCATAAATATAGCATACCTAAAACTATATCTTTATATATATATATATATATATATATATATATATATATATATATATATATATATATATATATATATATATATATAAAAAGTGTAGTTTTAAAGCATGTTATTGTCATGGATTAAAGTGCTCAATATCATGGATAAATCTTATGTAAATATAAAAGTAGACATTGAGGTTAATAACCAAAGGCGACAGTTTGTTTCATGCGTAAACGCAATCTTCAGGCCAAGCTGTTACCCATCTAAGTACTGACCAAGCTCGACGTTGCTTAAATTCGGTGATGGTATGAGAATCAGTGTTTCAAGATGATATGGCATGTTGAAGTCAAGGAGTAAGTTAAATTAGTTATAGGAGAGTGGCTCCCAATTGTCTTCCTGATCTAACATCATGGCATACCAATAATGAAACAGTATTAGCATGATATCTGTTCATACGACAGAGTGCAGCAAGATGTGGACTCGTGCTTTTTCCTAAAGCTATTAACGATATTTTATTTTAGTCTTATCCGTGTATATTAGTGATGAAAATAAAGTAATCGAAATTAATGTTCATCTGGTATCAAAAGATATGTTTTAAGGTATGTTCAACTACTTGAACATGGTCTGAAGATTGCGTTTAACCATGAAACAAACTGTCGCCCTGGCTGTAAACCTCAGTGTTCGCTTATATATATATATATATATATATATATATATATATATTGATGCATGTTTCATTAAATAATATGGACAAGCTGTGTCTATTTATTTTAAGTAAGTTCCTTTCATGTTGTCTGATTATCATTGAAAGACGAAAGGAAATGACCATATTGATACATGTTTAAATCCAATCTATATCGCGTCGCAGCTCGTGACAACCACGCGAGAGTGAAAACGAGAAGTATTAAATATGGGAAATTTTTCATGCAACAAAAACAGACTATCATTATTGTTTCGTCCGTGTATTGTTTGATATATTGAAATGTAATTGTCACCTTTGACAATGGCTTATATATATATATATATATATAATGGCATATATATACGTACATATATATACGTACATATATATACATAATGACATATATATACATACATATATCTATGTAATGTCATCACTTAACTTGTCCATTTCGTTGAATATAAATAGAAAGGAATATCTAAAATGAGTTTTTTAAAATGGAGGTTAGCGAATGAATGAAAAACATCAACTTGTTGCCTCAAAACTCAAAAAGCAATCATAACGAGAAAATTGTTTTAATTTCCTCACCACCTAAAGAGAAGATTATTTATTCACTTGCCCTTGAAAACATTGCCAAATATTTCCCTTTTTAACCTCTTACTACGACCTGACTTTTCAGTCTAACCACTTTTTCATAACTTTTTCCAGATGTCTCCACACAGATGTTGGTGACGTATACGATTGCCCAATTATCGAGAAAATTATGTGGTGGGTGTCACTGAATTTGTAAGTCTGTTAGTGGAGGTAATTCTATCCAATTTTCCAAGTTGTGTGTAACTCCTTATATCACATATATATTTATATATGACTGTTTCTTTTCTTTTCTTTTTTTACTAAACTCTCTGTCAGAAACTGGTCTTACGTTTTATATCTACGAAAGTCTAGTCCGTATACTTGTACTCCCTCTAATAATCAATTGATTGTCGACATCGATACAACCTTTGGTGAACATGGCACTGAGTCGAGATCAAAATCTGATATAAGGATTTGATACTTATTGGTGACTCAACGAATAAACGAAATTAGTTATGAGAGAGTAGCTTCCCATTCGCTTCCTCATCTAACATCATGGCATACCAGCAGTGAGACAATGTTATCATGATATCTATTGATGCGACAGAGTGCAGGAAGATGTGGGTTCATGCCTTTTCCTAAAGCTATTAATTCAAAGTTAACAGAAACTTCCTCGAGCGAGATTCGAATTTATTTCGGTGATTATAATAACCATTATTTCCCCCGCATCCTATTGATTTTCTATTAAGGCGTCGGTAGTGTTTGAAACCTGAACCAGGTAGGCAAAATGTTTTATTGACCTCTTACTGCCTAGACTTGGTTGCAGAAAGTTGACGAAAATGAATCTAAATTAAGGAATTATAAATTGTATTTTAACCCGACGTGTCAGCAAATATTGTAGTTTAGCCTATTCTGTGTATATTATTCATAAAATAATCAAAATTAGTGCGCCCTTCTTAGCAAAAACACAGTTTTAAAAATATGTTCAACTCGTGGAAGAATTGGCATTAAAAGATTAACACGTCATCAAATCTTTATTGTTACAGTAAGCTGTATAATAAATCATAAATAAGTTAAGCAAAGTCATTTTTGTTTTATTTCTTTCATCATTTATTCAGAATTGTATTGAATAACAAGTATAACTGGTTATTAATAAAAAAAATATATATATAATTAATAAATATTTAATTAATAAATCAAATTCTGAAA